ATATCATTTGGGGGGGACCCCAAAAAAAAAAAGTCGAAAAAAATCGCTGTTTTTTTTGGTATGTCTTCGGTACATCCCAACTATCACAGTTCTTTACACAATATTCCCCCCAAAATACTTGTGTTAGATCAACCTTAGCCTATAGCCATGTAATTTCCTTTTTTTTTTTTTGGCGGGGGACAGCTTGACATAGAGAACTATTTTTTTCAGCATTAAAATATTATTATTTTTTGATTAAGGCAAAAATTCAAAAATCAGCCTTTTACATGGTCTTGGGACGCCGAGGCTCTAGTGAAAGCAACAAACTGCATTTGAATCGCATGATAATTACGTGAGTTGGGATGTACCGAAGATTCATTAAAAAATAACGGACCTACGGCGTTTTGTATTTGGCCCCTTGCCAAAGTTCCTTATCTCTGTTATTTTTCTCTGAATCTAATGGTTTTATATATAAAGAAAATGCTTATTTAGTGTACTTTGCAATGCAATGATTACCAAGTCAATAGGAATTTTCATTTTCAATAGGGACGCTATTCTGTAAAGGTATGTGATTCTTTTTTTTTTCGTTGTTAATAAAAGTTGATATTTTCGTGTGAAAAGCATAGTAAATGCATTTTACCATAGAGACAACTAATCTAAACGAGATAAAAACCTTTTTTTAATTTCTTTGTTTTTTTTTATTATTCATTTTATTTTTATTTCATTTTTTTTTTTTGAAGAAATGGGGAACTGTGGATGGCAACATTAGTACAAAATCATTCTAATTATAAAGTCCTGACATGAATACAACATGGTGGTTCAATTTTGAGAATTTTAAAAGCATATGAATTTAGTACATTGAATTCGAGAACTTACGAAAGTCGTTGAATATTTCCCATGCCTCACACAGGGGGGGGGGGGGAGGGGGAGATGGTCACTGGGTGTTTATAATTTTCGAGGAGGATCATATGTACGTGAACGCACTAAGAAGTGCATAAAATCATGCAGACACCTAGGTGTTGTGGGATATTTGCCAATTTATGGTGCCTAAGACTTACGGTAACGTCTAATCATATTCATTTTTATCGGGAACGCACGAAACGGATGCGATAGCTTTTTGAACACCAGACGAAGACTACACATACAACCGAGCTTAAAATTCCATATAGTTTTTATTTCAGAGCAAGTATTACTGAGTATTATCATCTTTAATATGAAATAATCTGTATCTCGCTTAGACATCCGAAGTTTAAAAATCTGACATTTAGGTAACATTCGTATTGAATTGGTCTTTACAACGGTAACTACCAATTTCAAATCAATTCAAATCGCCTCCTGCTGTGATGTACCGACCGTTGAGCGAAATGTAACGAAAATATTTCAATCCTTCCTTATAAGGCTATTTTTAAACATTAGTGATTCGTATGTGATATACGTATATATTACCACGTAAACTAAAACATATTACCAGGGAGTCTCGATCGAAGCTTATTTCGTGTGTAAAAGGACACAAAACTTACATTTTTTTAAAGATATATTTCACAAAATACTTCATCATAAATCACGGTGATATCATTTTTTCCTGATATTGGTATAAAAGTGTTCCTTGAACATTCACGAACTCATATCTATTCGCAATGTCATAATTAAATGCCTTATGCACGATTGCCACAAGCAAAAGTCCACATAGGTGTACCTGGGCGCTCATTAGCAACGTACCTCTCCGGGTGCTGAGGGACTCGCGCACCGGCTGCAAGACAACGAGCCATAGCAGGCACTTAATACTCATTTGGTAGTTTCCTCATCCATGTACCTATACTATATGTTGACTAACTCAATTTAACCCCCTTCCCCCCCCTCTCTCAGGGACGGTCCCCTTAAGGGGACCGTCCCTGAGAGAGGGGGGGGAGGGGGTTAAATTAAGATAGTTAGCATATAGTATAGGTACATGGATGAGGAAACTACCAAACGAGTATTAAGTGCCTGCTATGGCTCGTTGTCTTGCAGCCGGAGTTCTGCGCAGCTTTGGGTGACAAGGCCTATGACGTCACCTGGAAGGAGCTGAGAGCAAGGGGGGCGGGGGGGATTAGAGCATGGTAGGCAGGGACATAGATAATAGAAAATGGTAGTAAATGAGCAGATACTTGAGTAATTTCAGATGTCGGCACGTTGAACGATTTGCATATTGGACATGTTTTGCAGGCGATGATTATCAGCGATTTTGTAGGCCTATATCATATATTCTACGTGAATTTAGTTTTGTAATTCATATGTTGCAGCTTAGACATGGCATAATAAGGACGTAAAATAAATAAAAAAGACATGGCATATGTAAACTCCAAATGTTTTTGATGAATTCATTATAAAACGAATCATACAACAATAACAATAATAATGATAATAATAATAATAATAATAATAATAATAATAATAATAATAATAATAATGGCAATACATAAATATACACATAAATGTACATATATAAGCTGCAACCAACCACTGGGCATTGTGACTTTGCGCGCGCCAGTCAGTCAAGCGAGCGAAAACGGAGAGAGGGAGAGATCCTTACGGCTCTACCTCACATCAAAGAATGACCACGCGATTAGCGTGGAACCCCCAGGCTCTGCTCCAGATGACGTCATGCGCAAGACGGACGAATTTGAGTCCCTTAGTGACGAGACCTGTACTTATATAGACCTTGACGTATATCACATACGAATCACTAATGTTTAAAAATAGCCTTATAAGGAAGGATTGAAATATTTCCGTTACATTTCGCTCAACGGTCGGTACATCACAGCAGGGGGCAATTTGAATTGATTTGAAATTGGTAGTTACCGTTGTAAAGA